GCTAGTTCCAGGACAGGCTCCAAAGCTACAGAGAAACCCTGTCTCAAAAAAAAAAAGCAAAAAAAAAAAAAAGGTTCAGTTTCTAGCACCCACATGGCAGGTCATAACCAGGTGTAACTCCAGTTCCAGCAGATTGGATTCCCTACTCCAACACCAGATATACATGTGGTACACAGATATATAAGCAAGGAAACCCTCTTAACACATAAAATAAACATTTCTTAATATTAAACTTAACAAAAAATAATATAGGAGAAATGGCTCAGTAGTTGAGAGCAATTGCTGTGCAAGCAGAAAGTCCAAGTTCAGATCCCAGTACACATGTTAAAGTTACGTGTGATCCTGGGCCGTCTTGTAACACCAGTCATCAAAAGTGTAGAGACAGGAGGATCACTGTGGTTAGGTGGCTGTCAGCCTAGCTGAAAAATTAAAGTCCTAAGTTCACCAAGATTTCTGGGCTCAAAGAACCAAGGTAGAAAGTAATAGAGAAGATAGCTGCCACCACCTTCTTGTGCACACACAGAATCACCTGTCCACACATGTGTGCGTAGGCCACACACATCTCACACACACATGCACACATACATGCACACATACAAAATGCAAAATAAGGTGGAGAGTGATTGAGGAAGACACTAGACACTTTTAAGATGTCAGTTTCTGACCTCCACAAGCACAGGCACACACAGTTGCACACACACAGGACTGAAGCAGGAGGGTTGACATCAATCTCAGACCAGACACATAAAACAAAACAAATAAGAAAAAGAAGCACCAGCCGCCACTTTTGCTGAAAAAGGCATTGACTTACATAGGCACGATTGAAGGCAGAAAGGTGTGTCACTGCTCTGACCCTGCACGGTGAGGCCACACCCTGGAGCAAAGACAAATAGCACAATGAGAACTGGATTGCTCCCCCAAAGTGATGATAGCATGCAGGACCACCTTGCAGAACTGGAACTGAGACCTGATCAGTCAGACCACACCCTGCCAAGGCCTGCTTAGTTATGATCACCTCTTCCCTTACCCCATTCATCCTCTCCTTACCCCTAATTGATGTCTACCGGGAAGATGGACTTGGAGGCCACTGAACCTTATTCTCTATTCTTCCCATTGTGGCCAGATTAGGGAATTCCTCCCCTTTCTGCTTTTATTCCCCACCACTCTTCATCTTTAATTGGCATATCTGCAAGGGTGGCCAAGACCTTCGGGGCTGCCAGTTTTATAATTTTTTAAAAATGCTGCAAGATCCCCAGCTGCAGTAGGCAGCAGAAATGCTGTAGGTCCCAAATGGTGGTAGCAGGCCATGTGGCGGCAGACAGCCGACCCTGTGAGCAGCCAGTCCCAGGCAGAGACAGCTAACGGTCCCAGAGTGGTGGCCCGAGCGGTGGTGGCAGTCCATGTGGCAGCAGGCATCGGGCCCTGAGAGCAGCCAGTCCCAGGCAGAAATGGCTGCCGGTCCCCGAGCAATGGCTGGTCCCAGGCAGGGAGACACATGGTTTGGCCATAGCCAAAGGTTTTGCTCTAAAGACTCCAGTCACACTGACTGCCATTCCAAACCAGGAACTTCCTGCAAAGGAAGACCCAGTATGGACACAAATTTCACTTCTCCCAGGAGATAGTAGCAGGGTGACTACTATGTGTAGTCTACACATAGAATCTTACTTTTTTTATTTTTAACACTGTGTGTGTGTGTGTGTGTGTGTGTGTGTGTTTGGAATTATGGGCATGTAGGTGCAGGTGCTTACAAAGACCAGAGACATCAGATCGTCTTAGAGCTGCAGTTACAAGCAGCTGTGAGCTCTTTGTGTGGGTGCAGTGAACTGAACTCAAACCAGTGCTAAACCAGTGCAGGCCTCAACCCTTCTGTACATTTCATATTTAAAGAATCTGGGGCTGAGCTGGGCTGCGGTGGCACACACCTTTCATCCCAGCACTCGGGAGGCAGAGGCAAGCAGATCTCTGTGAGTTCGAAGCCAGCCTGGTCTACAAGAGCTAGTTCCAGGACAGGCTCTAAAAAAATAAAATAAAATAAAAAGAATCAGGGGCTGCTGGAGAGATGGCTCAGCGGTTAAGAACACTGGCTGCTCTTCCAGAGAATCCAGGTTCAATTCCCAGCACCCACATGGCAGCTCACAACTGTCTATAAACTCCAGTTCCAGGGGATTCAACACCCTCACACAGACATACATGCAGGCAATACACAATGTACATGAAATAAAAATAAATTATTTAAAAAAGAGTATTTGACAAAGAGTCTGTACAATTTTAGATTCCTACAATTTTGGAGGAAAAAATTTGTTTTTGATTTTCGAGACAGGGTTTCTCTGTAGCTTTGGAGCCTGTCCTGAAACTCGCTCTCTAGGCTGGCCTCAAACTCAAAGAGATCCACCTGCCTCTGTCTCCCCAGTGCTGGAATTAAAGGCATGTGCCACCACCACCCAGCTATTTTTAAAGATTTATTTTAAATGTATGTGTATTTTGCCTGTATATATGTAGCTGCACCGTACATATATTTTGCCTGGTTTCTGTGGAGGTCAGAAGAGGGCATTGGATCCCTTGAAGCTGAAGTCACAGAGATTGCAAACTGCCATTTGGGTGCTGAGAACCAAACCCAGGTTAGCCACATAGTTCACTGTCCTCAACACTGGGCAGTCTCTCTAGCCACTTAAACTAATTTTTAATTATCTAGATGTTTCTTCCCTGTAGAAACAGGACATCAAACTCATTTTGTATTTTCTTGAACCCCTGATCTTCCTGTCTCCACTTCCCAAGTATTGAGATTACAAGTGTATGCCACATTTTAATTGTACAGTTTTTTAATTTTTTTATATTATTATTGTTTTTTTAAGATTATTTATTTATTTTATGTGCATTGATGCTTTGCCTGCATGTATGTCTGCCTGTGTGAGGGTGTCAGGTTCCCTGGAACTGGAGTTACAAACAGTTGTGAGCTGCCATGTTGCTGGAATTGAATCTGGGTCTTCTGGAAGAGCAGCCAGAGCTCTGAACTCCTGAGCCATCTCTCCAGCATTTGTATAATATTTTTTTATTTCTACAGTAAAATAATTATTACATATAGTCATATATGTAATAAAATTAACATACATCACCTTCCATAAATTCTCATATTGAAAGACCCCCACAGTATAGACAAACAGCTAAGCAGCAGCAACGCCAGGCTTAAACTTTGGAGCAACACAAGTAACATTAGAGCAGGGAAGTTCGACTTGAGAACAAGGGCGGAGAAGCCAGGCAAGATATCTGCGGTCAGCCGGTCAGCCATCTGGCCCCAAGCGATAAGGAGCCAAACTAGAAACAGGAAAAGTGGAAGGCCCTCTGGATACCCCCTCCCAGAACCCGCAGCTGGCCTGCTCCCATGAGAACATCCCGTTTGCTTAGGGAACCCGGATGCCTATAGTCAGCACATATGCCCAACTTAGAATATCAGCAATTCACAGAAGAGACAACTCCCCCTATGAAAGATCCCAGCTTAGCTGCTGTAACGTCATTTCACAAAGCTTTTGACGAACGACTGTAAGTGCAGAGTAAGGTCAGGGTCCCTGGCTGCAAAACAGGATATCTATATCTACAGGACATCAATTAACAGGAAATCTGTTGCCATACATCTGTGCTGTAAAAGGAAAGAAAGAACAAAAGGGAAACAGGATATCTGTTCCCATACATCTGTGCTGGGAAAGGAAAAACCACCTATGCCCCTTGCCCCATTCCAACTGACCACTAACAACGCATTTGCTTCTGTAATCTGCTTCTGCTGCCCTCTTTCCTATAAAAAGACCTTCCCCCAGTCTGCAGGCGCGCTTTGTCTTGCTTTGTCTTTCGAGAGACTAAGTCGCCCCAGGTACCTGTGTACTGAATAAAGCCTCTTGCTGTTTGCATCCGAAGAGTGATCTCACTGTTCCTTGGGAGGGTCTCCTTAGCCTGAAAGACTGCCCACCACTGGGGTCTTTCATTTGGAGGTCCCACCGAGATTTGGAGACCCCTACCCAGGGACCACCAACTCACCACCGGGAGGTAAGCTGGCCAGCACAATTGTTTTCTGTCTGTCTTCTGTCTTTTATGTTTGCGCCTGCGTTTGTACTGGTTAGCTAATCAGATTTGTATTTGGCGGACCCGTGGAGGAGCTGACGAGCTCGTACTCCCGACCGCAGCCCTGGGAGAGGTCCCAGTGGTGTTTGGGGGCCCGATTCGTGGCCCATTTGCAGTTTGTGAGTCGCGTGGAACTGGGACTGTTGGGGGCTGCCCCACTGTCTGAGGGATTTGTGACTGTTTTGGGAGACGAGGAGCCCGGGTCCTCAAAGTCTCCGTCTGAATTCTTGCTTTCGGTTTTACGCCAAAGCCGCGCTGCGAGTTTCTGTGTCTGTCTAAGTTGTATTTTGTTTGTCTGTCTAATTGTTACTGTCACCGCAGTTGAGAGAATGGGCCAATCTGTAACCACCCCTCTAAGTCTGACTTTACAGCACTGGCGAGACGTCCAAGACATTGCAAATTACCAGTCAGTGGACGTTCGGAAGAGATGCTGGGTAACTTTCTGTTCCTCGGAATGGCCCACGTTCAATGTGGGCTGGCCAAGGGATGGTACTTTTGACATCAATGTTATCTTACAGGTAAAGGCTAAAGTGATGGATCCTGGCCCTCACGGGCATCCAGACCAGGTAGCGTATATCGTGATCTGGGAGGCGATGGCTTATGACCCACCGCCCTGGGTCAAGCCTTTCGTCACCCCGAAACCCCCTATCCTTACCCCCTCTGCACCTACTTTACCCCCTCCACTCCTTCCCACCCCAACGGGACCTCCGCCCCACTCCTCCCTGTACCCAACCCTCACCAAGTCCCCGGTGCCCAAGCCCCCTCCTCCAAAAGTCTTGCCCCCAGATGATGACCTACTGATGGACCTACTCACGGAGGGCCCTCCCCCATATCAGGAGCCAGCTCCACGGCCTCCGAATGAGGCTGACTCAACTGAAAGAAAAGAAGAACAAGCGGCGCCGGCCTCTGCTGGTCCTTCTCCGATGGCCGCATGCCTGAGGGGACGAAGGGACCAGCTGCATGCAGCGGATACAACCTCCTCACAGGCATTCCCTCTTCGCACGGGAATGAACGGCCAACTGCAGTACTGGCCATTCTCCTCCTCAGACCTCTACAACTGGAAAAATAATAACCCTCCTTTTTCTGAGGACCCCTCTAGGTTGACTGCTCTGATTGAATCTATTTTGATTACCCATCAGCCTACATGGGACGACTGCCACCAGCTGCTGCAGGCCCTGCTGACTTCGGAGGAACGGCAGAGGGTCCTCCTGGAAGCCCGGAAGGAAGTCCGGGGACCTGATGGCCGCTCCACCCAATTGCCTAATGAAATAGATTCTGCCTTTCCCCTTGAATGCCCCTCTTGGGATTTCACCACGGTGAAAGGTAGGAATCACCTAGCCCTCTATCGCCAGTTGCTCATAGCGGGTCTCCACAGGGCGGCTCGACGCCCAACGAATTTGGCTCAGGTAAAGCAGGTTATACAGGGGTCAGAGGAAACTCCCTCTGCGTTCCTTGAGAGGCTCAAAGAGGCTTACCGCAGATATACTCCCTATGACCCTGACGACCCCGGACAGGAGACCAATATCTCCATGTCTTTTATTTGGCAGTCAGCTCCAGATATCAGACGCAAGCTGGAGCGTCTAGAGAACCTCAGGGAAAGCTCACTCAGGGATCTGCTAAAGGAAGCAGAAAAGATTTTCAATAAGAGGGAGACTCAGGAAGAGAGGGAGGACCGCCTCAGGAGAGAAGCAGAGGAACGAGAGGACCGCTTCAGAAAAGAAGCCGAGGAAAGGGAAAAAGAGAGGGACCACAAGAGACATAAGGAAATGAGTAAACTTTTGGCCACCGTAGTGTCAGGGCAAAGACAGGATAGACAGGGGGGAGACAGAAGAGGGCTACCCCTCGACAAGGACCAATGTGCCTACTGGAAAGAAAAGGGGCATTGGGCAAGGGATTGTCCCAAGAACCCGAGGGGACCCAGAAGACCAAGACCTTCTCAGACCTCCCTCCTAGCTCTGGACGACTAGGGAGATCAGGGCCAGGAGCCTCCCCCTGAGCCCAGGATAACCTTAGATGTTGGGGGGCAACCCGTCACCTTCCTAGTTGATACCGGAGCTCAACACTCGGTGCTAACCAGGGACCCCGGACCCCTGAGTGACAAGTCTGCCTGGGTCCAAGGGGCCACTGGTGGAAAACGATACCGATGGACCATGGATCGCAAGGTTCTCCTAGCAACCGGTAAGGTGACTCATTCTTTCCTCCACGTGCCTGACTGTCCATATCCGCTCCTAGGAAGGGACTTGCTCACAAAATTAAAAGCCCAAATTTACTTCAAGGAAACCGGAGCACAGGTAGTTGGCCCTCAGGGACAACCCTTACATGTGCTGACTCTCAGCCTAGAAGATGAATATAGGCTGCATGAAAAAGACAGTACCACTGCGGCCCCCACTGAGGCTTATTGGCTGGATCGCTTTCCCCAGGCATGGGCAGAAACCGGGGGAATGGGGCTGGCCAGACAGCAGCCCCCTCTAGTGGTAAGCCTCAAGACAACTGCTACTCCTGTCTCGATTAAACAGTATCCCATGTCTCATGAGGCAAGGGAAGGAATAAGGCCTCACATCAAAAGGCTTCTTGACCAGGGAATATTAGTCCCCTGCCGGTCCCCTTGGAATACCCCCTTGCTGCCCGTGAAAAAGCCAGGGACTGGGGACTATAGACCTGTGCAGGATCTAAGAGAGGTCAATAAACGGGTGGAAGACATACACCCGACAGTTCCTAACCCCTACAATCTGTTAAGTGGACTATCACCCTCGTATACTTGGTATACCGTCCTGGACCTCAAGGATGCATTCTTCTGCCTGAGACTGCACCCCAAAAGTCAGCCCATATTTGCCTTTGAATGGAAGGATCCTAAACTGGGGATTTCAGGACAGCTGACCTGGACCAGGTTGCCTCAGGGTTTCAAAAATAGCCCCACCCTGTTCGATGAGGCCCTACACCGAGACTTAGCGGATTTCAGGGTGAGGCATCCTGGCCTGATACTGTTACAATATGTTGATGATCTCTTGTTAGCTGCTACTTCGGCTCAGGACTGTATAAAAGGAACTGAGGCATTACTACAAGCCTTGGGGGATCTAGGGTACCGAGCTTCTGCCAAAAAGGCCCAAATATGCCAACGGCAGGTCACCTACCTAGGGTACCAAATCAGAGAAGGACAGAGGTGGCTAACGGAGGCCAGGAAAGACACAGTTATAAAAATCCCTACACCCCGGACACCCCGCCAGCTGAGAGAGTTCCTAGGGACAGCGGGATTCTGCCGGCTCTGGATCCCCGGATTCGCGGAACTGGCAGCCCCTTTGTACCCACTGACTAAGCAGGGGGTGATGTACTCATGGGGATCGGATCAGGACGAGGCTTTTCAGAAAATCAAACGGGCTCTGCTCACAGCCCCAGCCTTAGGCCTCCCTGACCTGACTAAGCCTTTTGATTTGTTTGTCGATGAGAAGCAAGGATATGCAAAAGGGGTCTTGACCCAGAGGCTGGGGCCCTGGCGGCGGCCAATAGCCTACCTGTCCAAGAAATTGGACCCCGTGGCTGCAGGATGGCCCCCATGCCTCAGAATGGTAGCAGCAGTGGCAGTCCTCACCAAGGACGCTGGCAAACTGACTATGGGCCAACCTTTGACCATCCTGGCCCCACATGCAATTGAGACTCTAATCAGACAACCCCCAGATTGCTGGCTCTCCAATGCCCGCATGACCCATTATCAGGCCATGCTCCTGGACTCGGACCGAATCCATTTCGGACCAGTGGTGGCGCTCAATCCTGCAACCCTGCTACCACTCCCAGAGGAGAGACACGACTGTCTCGAGATCCTTGCGGAAATGCACGGGACCAGACCGGACCTGACGGATCAACCCCTCCGGGATGCGGATGTCACCTGGTACACTGACGGCAGCAGCTTTTTGCGGGAAGGTGAGCGAAAGGCGGGTGCCGCGGTAACCACCTCTGGGCACAGCCTCTGCCTGCGGGGACATCTGCGCAGCGAGCAGAGCTTGTCGCCTTGACACAAGCTTTGAGGATGGCAGAAGGTAAGAAGCTCAATGTCTATACTGACAGCCGATATGCTTTTGCCACTGCTCATGTTCACGGGGAGATATACAGAAGAAGAGGGCTACTGACTTCAGAAGGAAAGGAAATCAAAAATAAACCAGAGATCTTAGCCTTGTTAGAAGCTTTATTTCTGCCTCGGAAACTGAGCTTTATACATTGCCCAGGACACCAGAAAGGAGACAGCCCTGAGGCTCGAGGAAACCGGCTGGCTGATGAAGCCGCCAAACAGGTGGCCCTGCAAGCTCCGCTGGCCATACTGCCCATGCACCAAGATAAGAGAGACCCCCTCAAATATGATGAGGAGGATCTAAAGCTCCTGGCAGACATGGGAGCGGAGCAGGACCAGAAAACGGGCGAATGGACATGGAAGGGAAAAACAGTGATGCCGATGGCATACACTTATAAGATGCTTGATTACTTACGTAAATTGACCCATCTAAGCCCCCGAAAGATGAAAACTTTGTTAGACCGGCAGGAAACTTTTTGCTATTTACTGGGGCGAGACAGCATCCTCCAAAAAGTTCTGGACAAATGTAGAGCATGTGCACAGGTAAATGCAGGAAAAACCAAGGTGGGACAGGGGGTGCGAATCCGTGGACATCGACCAGGAGTACAATGGGAAATTGACTTTACTGAAATAAAACCAGGCATGTATGGATACCGGTACTTATTGGTATTTGTGGACACCTTTTCGGGATGGGTGGAAGCCTTCCCGACCAAGCATGAGACAGCAAAAATTGTGACCAAAAAGCTGCTGGAAGAAATCTTCCCCAGGTATGCCATGCCCCAAATGTTGGGCACTGATAATGGGCCCGCCTTTGTCTCCCAGGTAAGTCAGTTGGTGGCCAAACTATTGGGGATTGATTGGAAATTACATTGTGCATACAGACCCCAGAGTTCAGGACAGGTAGAAAGAATGAATAGAACTATTAAGGAGACTTTGACCAAATTAACGCTTGCAACTGGCACTAGAGACTGGGTGCTCCTACTACCCCTAGCCCTCTACAGAGCTCACAATACACCAGGACCCCACGGGCTCACACCTTTTGAAATACTATATGGGGCGCCCCCGCCCTTCATTAATTTCTTTGACTCCAACATTTCAGACTTTGCTAATAGCCCCTCTCTGGAAGCTCATTTACAGGCACTCCAGATCGTGCAGAGAGAGGTCTGGAAGCCACTTGCTGCAGCCTATAAGGAACAATTAGACAGACCAGCGGTACCTCACAGCTACCAGATTGGCGATACAGTTTGGGTCCGCAGACATCAGACTAAGAATCTGGAACCCCGCTGGAAAGGACCCTACACCGTGCTGCTAACCACTCCAACGGCACTGAAAGTTGACGGCATCGTGGCCTGGGTCCACGCCTCCCACGTAAAAGCAGCTCGTACGGAAGGAGATACAGCAGAACCACTATGGAGGGTCCAGCGCTCTCAAAACCCTCTAAAGATAAGACTTACCCGGGGGCCCCATTGACTGGTTTATGGATCTTGTTGGGACTAGGGATGATAGTCCGGGGAGACAGCCCTCACCTGGTACGCTCCCTAAAATGGCAGGTATTGTCCTCGGTCGGAGAAGTTGTCTGGGAAATTCAGGCAAACCATGCTATAGACACCTGGTGGCCCCCACTTACCCCGGATTTCTGCCAGCTTGCAGCAGGATCAGAGATATGGGATATTCCTGATTTGCTACCTACACAGTTAAAGGACCGGGCAGGCAGCCGCTTTTCTCCTGGGGGAAAATTCGGCTGTGGAAGCCCTGAAGGAAGATGCTTCCTGGGGCAATTAGATTTCTATGTCTGTCCCCGGGATGGGCGGGAGCGAGACCAGGTCCACGCTGTGGAGGATGGGAAAGCTTATTCTGTAATGCCTGGGGATGTGAAACAACCGGGGATGCGTTTTGGAAGCCTAGCTCCTCATGGGACTGGATCACTGTTCATAAGAACTACACCTCCCCTAGAGAGTGTTCCACAAAAAATACTGGAAAATGTAAAGGCAACCCCACCTGCCTGCCCTTAAACATCACCTTCACCCCCCGAGGTCGAGCATCAGGGCAGTCTAACTGGATGACAGGGAGGACTTGGGGCCTCCGATGGTACTTCCCAAACAGAATGACTAAGAAGGACCTAGGTGCCATCTTCACTATAAAACTAAAAGTGGAAATGGCCCGCCAAGCAGTTGGTCCTAATCTAGTTATTTCTGACCAAAGATCCCCATCACAGCCCGGCCAGGCAGCGCTCCCAGAAGCTCCCCTCAATGTACCAGCCACCCCATCAACTGCTTCTACCCCACTCACAGCCTCCCCGACTCCTTACCAACCCGGGACCGGGGATAGGTTACTTGATTTAGTCCAGGGGGCATATCTAGCCTTAAATGTGACAGACCCCAATAAGACCCAGGAATGTTGGTTATGCTTGATTTCCAGACCCCCCTATTATGAAGGGATAGCAGTGACAGGTACCTATGTCGTATATAACTCTCCACCCACACAGTGCATCGGTCTTCCCCAGCACAAACTAACCCTGTCGGAGGTATCAGGAAAAGGACTCTGCATGGGAACAGTCCCAAGCTCTCATCAAGCTTTATGCAATACTCTACAGCCCGTCCCATCCGGTTATTATTTAACCGCACCAAGCGGTACCTACTGGGCTTGTAGCACTGGGATCACCCCTTGTCTATCAACAACCGTACTTAACCTGACCTCTGATTACTGTGTTTTAGTTGAATTATGGCCTAAAGTTACATATCATGATCCTGAATATATTTACAGTCATTTTGAAGGGAGACCTCGATTCAAACAAGAACCAGTATCCCTTACTTTAGCCCTGCTGTTAGGAGGACGAACTGCAGGAGGTATAGCAGCAGGGGTAGGAACTGGTGCTTCTGCCCTTGTAGCTACCAGCCAATTCAGACAGCTTCAAGCGGCAATGCATACAGACATCAAGGCCTTAGAAGAATCAGTCAGCGCCCTTGAGAAATCCCTAACCTCTCTGTCAGAAGTGGTGCTGCAGAACCGCAGGGGGCTTGATATATTGTTCCTGCAAGAAGGAGGCTTATGCGCTGCCCTGAAAGAGGAATGTTGTTTTTATGCAGACCATACTGGCCTAGTCAGAGACAATATGGCAAAACTGAGGGAAAGACTTAAGCAGAGGCAGCAGTTGTTTGAGTCAGAGCAGGGATGGTTTGAAGGCTGGTTCAACAGGTCTCCCTGGTTTACCACCTTGGTTTCCTCCATCATGGGCCCCCTAATCGTTATACTTTTAATCTTGCTTTTTGGGCCTTGTATCCTAAATCGCTTGGTCCAATTCATGAAGGACAGGCTGTCTGTCATCCAGGCTCTGGTCCTGACACAACAGTATCATCAGCTTAGACAGTTTGATCCCGAAGACATGGATACCACAGCTAAATGAATAAAGGGTTTTATTCAGTTTATAGAAAAAGGGGGGAATGAAAGACCCCCACAGTATAGACAAACAGCTAAGCAGCAGCAACGCCAGGCTTAAACTTTGGAGCAACACAAGTAACATTAGAGCAGGGAAGTTCGACTTGAGAACAAGGGCGGAGAAGCCAGGCAAGATATCTGCGGTCAGCCGGTCAGCCATCTGGCCCCAAGCGATAAGGAGCCAAACTAGAAACAGGAAAAGTGGAAGGCCCTCTGGATACCCCCTCCCAGAACCCGCAGCTGGCCTGCTCCCATGAGAACATCCCGTTTGCTTAGGGAACCCGGATGCCTATAGTCAGCACATATGCCCAACTTAGAATATCAGCAATTCACAGAAGAGACAACTCCCCCTATGAAAGATCCCAGCTTAGCTGCTGTAATGTCATTTCACAAAGCTTTTGACGAACGACTGTAAGTGCAGAGTAAGGTCAGGGTCCCTGGCTGCAAAACAGGATATCTATATCTACAGGACATCAATTAACAGGAAATCTGTTGCCATACATCTGTGCTGTAAAAGGAAAGAAAGAACAAAAGGGAAACAGGATATCTGTTCCCATACATCTGTGCTGGGAAAGGAAAAACCACCTATGCCCCTTGCCCCATTCCAACTGACCACTAACAACGCATTTGCTTCTGTAATCTGCTTCTGCTGCCCTCTTTCCTATAAAAAGACCTTCCCCCAGTCTGCAGGCGCGCTTTGTCTTGCTTTGTCTTTCGAGAGACTAAGTCGCCCCAGGTACCTGTGTACTGAATAAAGCCTCTTGCTGTTTGCATCCGAAGAGTGATCTCACTGTTCCTTGGGAGGGTCTCCTTAGCCTGAAAGACTGCCCACCACTGGGGTCTTTCAATATGGGTGATGGTCAGTGTGTTTGGCTTTTAGTGTGTGGTATCACAGGCTGATGACGCTGGCTCAGTAGGCAAAGTGCTTTCTCCGCAAGGCTGATGACCTCGGTTCAAGCCCTGGACCCCACATAAAGACAGAGGGAGAACTGACTCCATAGAGTCCTCTTTATGAAGACCACATTTGTGCCGTCAGACACGCATCCACACAAAAATGTCATTCACACACATAATGATCATAATAACTAACAGCTTAAAAAGAGATAGGATCACACCATGTTTCCCGAAGTGGCCTTCAACTCAAGATTCTCCTGCCTCAGCTTTCCGGAAAGAGACTACAGGTGCAAGCCTGGCAATGATGCTGGTTCTTTTTTTGTTTTGTTTTGTTTGCTTTGTTTTTTGTTTGTTTGTTTTTGTTTTTTGAGATGGGATTTCTCAGTAGCTATAAAGACTAGCAATGTTGTTTCTTTTAAAAAAAAATTCACTGGGTGGTGGTGGCACATGCTTTTAATCACAGCACTCAAGAGACAAGAGGGCAGGTGGATTTCTGTGAGTTTGAGGTGAGCCTGGTCTATAGAGCAAGTTCCAGGACAGCCAGAGAACACAAAGAAACCCTGTCTCAGAAAAAAAAAATTAAGTTTTTGTACAGCCTTCTCCTCAGAGCAGAGCAACTGTCATCTTCATGAGAGCAGCTGTATCAGCTTGCAAACCATCCATCGTCCATCGTCCATCGTGGTTGGCTTGCTGGCTGTTGCTGACATTTCATCTCCAATGAGGAGGAGGCCTGAGGGGAAGCCTTCTTCTGTGCTGGGTGCAGCAAGCCTAATAAACGCATTGGTTCTCTGTGGTGAACTGTGGTGGAATCCAGCTTTGGTTTGTCGTTGGAACCTTAGAAGGCTTAGATATTACCCTGCCACCACTGAGAGAAAGTCCTCGCACAAAAGGGGTTATTTATCAAAACATGGGCCGTTTACCAGTGGCTACACCATTGAAAAATAATACCTTCTTTCTCTCCCTCAGGGAGCAGTGGGAATTGACAAGCCCCTGGCCCATCCATAGAATGTTGATGGGCACAATCGTGTGCAGATAATCACAGCTGATCTGAGTCTGTGCACGCAGTGGTCAGGTCAGATCTGGAGAACAGCTTTCTACAGTACTCCTCCTCATCCTCTGGTTCTTACACCCTTCCTGCCCTCTCCGCCGTATTTCTTGAACTTTGGAGGGGGTGAGATTTAGGGCTGAGCATTCAAAGGTAAGTTATCATCAACACTTTGACCAGTTAAGTGTCTCCAGTGACTACTATTTGCTGATAGATAAAGGAGGCTTCTTGAATCACTGCAGAGTGAGAACAGCACTTATCTATGGGCATAGATGAAGGAATGTTTAGAAGGAAGTTTGACAGTCACATGGCCATTTAGCAAAACAACAGAAGTGACTCCCTGCCACCCAACCCCAGGGCCCACAGCTACAGGCTTTATTTTGATTTTTGGGTTTGTTTGTTTGGTTGGTTGGTTTGGGTTTTTGTGTGTATTTTGAAACAGGGTGTTACTACGTAGCTTTGGCTGTCCTAGAACTCATTATATAGACCAGGCTGGCCTCAAACACACACTCAGAGATTCACCTGCCTCTGCCTCCTCGGTGCTGAAATCAAAGGTGTGCACCAACATGCCAACTTCAGCCACAGGCTTTAGAACAATTTATAGTACCGGATGTGAATTCCTTCCTGTGGGGTGGGTCTCAATTCCAATCAGAAAATAGTTGGTTATCCCCGCAACAGATTTGCCACAATTGTACTGGAGGACCTATCTCATCTGTAGTATTCAGGACCCATGACTGAGAGAGACCACTCAGGACTTTCTCCCAAAGTAGCCTGCATAGACTTGCTGTTGTTACGAGAACTAGCCAGCATGGAAGACGCATCCACTCCATTCCAGCTTTACATCTCTCGGTCCTGGTTGCGTCTTCAACAAGGGGGTTCTTAGCATCTCGATCCCGTGAGTATTCAACTGCCTGTGTTGTTTGGATGCTCGGGGTTGGTCCTTGCTCTCATTTGCACTGGAACTAGAGATTACTCTAGATACCGGCTGGTTTCCTGTCAACCCGACAAGCTAGAGTCATCAGAGAGAACAGCGATTGGTTGAGGAATTGCCTGCAAGGGATCCAGCTGCAGGGTATTTTCTCAATTAGTGATTAATGGGGGAGGGCCCAGCTCGTGGTGAGTGGTACCGTCCCTGAGCTGGTGGTCCTGGGTTCTATAAGAGGGCAGGTTGAGCAAGCCAGAACAAGCAAACCAGTAAGCAGCTCCCCTCCATGGCCTCTGCATCACCTCCTGTCTCCAGGTTCCAGCCTTGCTTGAGTTCCTGTCCTGACTTTCTTTGGTAATGAAGCGATGTGGAAATGTAAGCCCAATAAACCCTTTCCTCTCCAATCTGCTGTTTGGTCATGGCGTTTCGTGGCAACAATAGAA